AACCAGCGAAGAATGTGTTTAGCTCATTCAGGAGGGAGATGGTGTGTGTGTGCAGGCGTGCGTGCCTTATTTCTAGGGCCAGACAGAATCTGCTGAGTTTTTTTTTTTACCATTTCTATGCAGAATAATAAAAATTGATTTTAAAAGAGTATAGCAGATGGCGACTAAAAACATAAAATTCAATGTAAAAAACTTCATAAATTTTCAGGTTAACATTTGCAAATCTAATTAGAACCACTTGTTATGTAAACAGCTCCAACAGGTCTCTCATATTATACATCCACTAAAAGAAAGATAATAAAACTTTTCAAAAACATCAACGATATAGTCAGCTATCAACTATTGTTGATGTTTTTGTTGTTTTTGTTTTGTTGCTTTGTATTTGTTATCTGTTGATGTTTTCTTGTATTTGAATGATTTTTGCATATACTAATAAAAAAATAAAAAAAAATAAAATAAAATAAAACTTTTCAAATCGAATTGTACATTATTCATCTACGCATTTGCATATTATTCAGTTTTCTGCCAGAACACATTCTGTTTGTCTACTTATTAGCCAGTAATATTATGATTTTTGAATGTAAACATATTGTCTTATACCATATACCAAAAAATGCTAGCAGTTCATCATCAAGCCAACCTCAACATCTTTCTCGACAAACTTTAGTGTAAAATAACATTTATGTTGAACAATATAATTTTTTGCTAATAAAATGTTATAAGTGTGTGTATTTATATTCTTGATTTAATATTTTGCTCATTTATTTTTCTTTCATCTTTTTCCTCATTAGGTATCTTTTCTGATACTCATTTGCTTACAATGATGTACATTGGAGAGATGTGTTTCTGGGCAGTGAAATATGAGGACTGCAGCATGGACACCACAGAGCGCAAAGAGGACAGGCTTCATTTCCGAGATATTGGCACACAAATCCTCCATAAGTACGTTCTGGCATGCGAGGGGCCACTTCAGGGTCAGGGCTGGAACACAGAGAATGCCAAGGAGATCCTTAGTATTTTACAGTAAACCCGGAGAAATCTTTTAGGGCAGGAGGTTCACGCAATGTCATTCTTCTGAAGCTAGCAAAAACAAAAAAGTAAACACAAAAAGATTAAAAAAGAAAAATGCAGAAAACAAAAAACGGCACTTATCTTCCAGTCCAGATTTGTTTTCTGGATGTGTGTTTTCGCTGAGAATGTGGAATAATACTTCTAATGTAAAATATAAACAAATAACTATTTGTTTAAGAAAAAAGAAACTATTCCAGCCGAGAAACATCACAACTTTTTATTTATTTTAATTTTTATTTATTTATTTTTAATTAATTACATTTATATATGTCATTTATATATGTTAAAAGAAATGGTACAAAGGAGGGGAAAATGCAGATATATGTTGCATATTTAAGTATTCGTGACCATTTTTAAGTATGGACCTTTTTCTTTTTAATAACATCTTTGTATATGACACCTCTTCTGCTCACTTATTAAAAGTTGCATCTTTATTCCTTTCGTTGACCAGATGTAATGTTCAGAGATGGGGATTTGGATATTTTGATAGTATACTTTAAAAAAAAAAAGCTAAACTTTTTGGTCATATTCTTTTTAAAATGAAGTTCTTCTTTTGTTTTTTATGTCTTCATTGAAATAAATTTTGGGTTAAGAAATGTTGAAATATGAACGTGTGAGTCATACTTTATGTTCTTGTTTCACTGTAGAATAAGAATAGATAAACATAATCATCATTTGCTTGTTAGTTATTGAAAGGTGTTAAGTCAGGGGTGTCCAAACTTAGTCCTGGAGGCCCGATGTCCTGCAGAGTTTAGTTCCAACTTGCTTCAACACAAGTTTCTAGTTTAACTAGTAAGAGCTTGATTAGCTGCTTCAGGTGTGTTTGATTTGGATAGCAGCTAAACTCTCCAGGACAACGGCCCTCTAGTACCGAGTTTGGACACCCCAGTGTTAAGTCGAGTTAACTCTGCATTTTATGATCTAATCTTTATATTGTTGTTGTACAAACTTAAATTCATAAAATAAGCTAGGGAAAACAAGTATTTAAATAAAAAAATCATTGAATTGATTAACTGTCAAATGTAATTTAAAGAAGACCTATATTGCCCCTTTTTACAAGATGTAAAATAAGTCTTTATGTCAATAGAGTTTGTATGTGAATTCGTGCACAAAAATACCCCACAGTAATTTTTTTTTTTACTGATTGATCCAAATTGTGGCATTTTGGTGATTGGTGCTTTAAATTAAAATTTGATTGTGATTTTTATCAAGAGGGTGGAGCTACAAATGCCTGTGCCTTAGCATAGCCAGCGTGATCTCACAAGGAAACGTAAGTATTTTACTTTTTTCAGTTTAGTGGCTAATTCTATAAATTTGTAAAGAAATTTGTTTAGACTGACAGAAATGTGCAATTTTAATGAGGAAGCGTGACACCCAACTCTGCCCATAAACATATCCGGGGATAAGCAAATCACACTAAATTGTTTGAATTGGCAACTAAATCAAAATGTTAGAGATCATGAGATCGTGTAGGCATGACAGCCAGTTTAATACAGGACTAACCTCTGAAAAACAATGTCAAAAGAAAAGGCTCAGAAGAAGGCAGTCTTTGGAGACACGGTATAAATTTGTGCATCATAAAACTCCACATAATGTCTCTTGCATTCACTGACCTCAACTTTTGCAGGATTTGAAAACTAAAAAAAAATGCTGCTTTTCACTCAACTGTTTATGCTAATCCGAGAGATGGTCACTCATGGGCGGAGCTTTCCCCCATTGAGTTTCTGCAGGCTGTTTTTATGAGGTGTGGTTATAACAAATATAATTAATTTGTACTATTAATCACTATCTATATTCACACTCTGTTGCCACACTACCGTGTTTAAACCATTTATGAAAGTAATTTTTCCATTATAAGCATCCTTATAAGTTAGGGTTAGGATTAAAACCTGTTAACGCATTAAAACAGGCTAGCAACATGTTAGTTGGCAAATGTGAAGTCATGCTGATACTGATTGTTCAGAATGTGTTAAACTTAGAAGCATGTAAGAAGTTGTGTTGACAGTTTGTTGAACATTTTTAGTAATACATTAGTGCGTTAGCAGGGATGGGCAGTATTTATTGTATATGGGCATGTATTTCAAATATGTATTTTAAATACAAAATAGTATTTTGTAAATTGCATTTTATGAGGTTGATGAAAATGGGTTAATATTTTGTATCAAAATACTTAAGTGTTTTGTACTTTTAAAATACTGTAAAATACTTTATGAAGTCTACATGGTGACTTCATAAAAATTCGGCCTTACATTGATGCTTTCTCGGTTATTTGCAAAGGCTTGAGATCAGAAAAAGAAATTAAGCAGGTGGTCAATGCTAATGTAATGGCAGTATAGTGTACAATTCGGCATCAGCATCTTTGCTTCAGTAATAAGATGGAATAAAAAATCAGTCCTGAAGAACAGGATGAGGAGCTTCAAAACCTCCTTAGTGTCAGCCTCAGGGCTGCAGGTGTAAATGCAGAAGAATTTTAAAATAATAAAACACCTAAAGATGGTGTACTGGTGTTCGCTAAGGAGTGTTGACTATTTTTATGTAAAAGTCTTACATGCTATGCCTTTAAGATGTCATTAAGAAATTAAAGGCATGGTACGACCAAAAATGTACATTTCCTCTTCATTTAATCATACATTTTATGTTATGATTTTCTTTCGTTTGTTGAACACCAAACAATACATTCTGAAGAATGTTGGGGAAAAGCAGCCATTGACATCAGTAGTATCATTATAAAATACTATGGCAGTCAATGGCTGTTTTCAGCATTCTTCAGTATTTATTTCTTTATTTACGCGTGAACTATTCCTCTTCAAAATGCTGAATTGATACATTTATGAAATATTAGATGTTGATTGTGAGTGTTTCAGCAGTCCAGTTATGCAGCCTGCAGTCCAGTGATTGTGAAATCAGAAGACAGATTCCTCCACACACAAAAAGCATTATCTCATTTATTATCCATAACATGACATGTCCTTTATTAATGTAAAATGCAAAGTTTACACAAACAACAGTACAATAATATAGACTCTCATGAGCATATGATATTTTATTGTTTTAGATTAACGTAAATGCATATGATAAAATATATTACAGATTGTCAAATTGATTATGATAATAAGTAGTAAAAGGTTTGTAAAGAAATGTGCTTGCTTGTAAAAGTATTTAGTACTTTCAAAATACAAAAGTACATTTTATTTACTTTTACTTTTGATACGTTTGTGACTGTTGTATTTTGTCGATGATTTTGATACACGTAAAATTGAGGTAGTTGGTATCTTCATTTTTATTTGGTATGTATTTCGCTCATCTTGTATATCCTAATATTGTACAATATACAGCTCTAACGTGTATAGCCTATGTGGCTGGTTGTCGTTTTGAGCTTTTTTTTTCCAGAGAGACGCTTAAATTTTTTTTAAAACGTAACAGCAATGTTTAACTACAGCAGAGCTTAAAATCTCATTATTAGCTTGAATAACCGTGATTTTGGAATCACAAATTGAAAGTGCTTTGGCGTTTTCCTGTTTTATGTAAATAAATAAATAAATAAATAAATAAATAAATAAATAAATAAATAAATAAAAATAATTATTAAAAAAAAAACAAATCGAAGGAGTGTGATGCGATTGAGTAGTTTTACTGCTGTGGAGGACAATTGGCAACTTCAAATTAAAAAGAATATCATGTTATTCATGCAATATTTTAAACGTGGAAATAAATCACTTTTAAATGGATAAATAGGCCCACATAAAACGCCAAAAAAATTGTGATGTTGAAATAAGTTGGTATACAACGCAAAATTTATATTGTATGAATGGAGATGTTAAAGTGCTTATTAGATACATTACAATAAACAAAACTTAAATGTACCGTGATTTATTTCCATTTTCATACGTATTCCAAAACTACAATTCCCATAATGCACTACTGTACGTGACGTTGCATACACGCCTATGAAAACACGAGAGACGTGTAACTTTTGACAGTTCCGGGAAAATAAAACGGCATTAGTTTGCTCAAATGAAATTGTATCAAATAGTTGACTGAAACATAAAGAAATTAAGCAAATGAGTCCGCGTTGTTGCTCTTTTCAGAAGGTAGGCTACATAAAGAAGTGTCATCAGTATGTTGAGCCGATCTATAGTCGTGCAAAGTCTCAGGAGTATCAGAGATAGATTTTTTGATACAAGAAGACACAGAAATGAGCAAAGTGATGGGCCAAGTGATGATGCCATGGGAGCCTCTCTGGATAATTTGTCGGTAAGAGACGAGTTTTCACAACGTTATATATTTTTATTTGTTGTTTTTATTTATTTTATTCATTTTTTTATCTGACAAATATTAAACGTATATTATTGCTCGTATTGTGTTTGTAATGTAACACTAGTAGGCTACTGGTAGTCACAACATGACACTGCATTCTGCAACACTACGCATCATATTAAAAATATACATTAACACTTAATTTCACTACATTATTTAATTTAGCTTTCCATTTGGAGTTATTTTAGCGTAATGTTTTTTTAATGTCTTGTGTTAAAAGTCTGATATCATTATACCAGATTGTTTAAAACTATTTTGCATTACAAGTAATGGTAAGAAAATACTTATACAATACATAACAGCAGTGGTGGAAAGAGTACCATTACTTCCCTAAGCATGTAGTACAAGTAGAATAAAAGTATCTGTTGTAAGTATTACTCAAAATATAAGTAAAAAGTAGACCTTTCAAAAGTACTAAAGAGTAGAGAGTATTATGCTATAAAAACTGATGCGTTTACATGCAATATGTGAATGTGTGTCAACGTAACATTCTGTTGTGCATCTAGTTATTGCCCAGCAGACACACAATGTCATTAAACGCTAATATTAGGTTAGGTTTAGGTTGTGACATCTGGTGACCAAAATTCAATGGCTATAGCCAGCATTTAGGGCCAACATTATCTTGTTGTCCAATAATAACTTCAAATGACGTTAATATTTGGTCGATTTTTAGGACTTTAGAAAGTGATCAAAATCCAACGTCAAGCCATCATCTTAAACCAACATCATATTGACTTCAAACACTGACATTTATTCATCAGGTATGGCCACCAAATTTCAACATCTGCTAGACGTCATAATGGTAACGTCATTAGATGTCGATATTTGGTTGGTTTTAGGTTGGACATTGATGTTGGCCTGACATTGAGTTTTCCAACCCGATTTTCATTTCCAAACAAAATGCAACGTCCCCATGATGTTAGGGTACAACGACAATCTGGGGTCATATTGATGTCTTGTGCTCTTTGTGGTCTTCTCATCAGTGACATGCATCTAAACCAAGTGTGCCGCAAGCCTACGTTTGAGTGAAGGTTTCGGCCGTTAGATCGCCCCCTGGGGGCTGGCTGCAGTACAAGTCATAAAGCCCGCCTCCTCCGTGTTAATGAAGGAGACTTGAGCCCAAATAAAAAAAAATATTACACTTGCAATAAAATGTCCCGAAAGATAGTTCTGGTCGATTAAGGCACTGGTTATTGTGCTGAAATAGGTGCAGATCTTCATTTTTGTAAACAGTTTGTTTTTAGCAGTAATTTAATGCTGGGCGTGTCATCGTGATTGACAGCTGTGATTGACAGTTTCTCAAAGCGCGGCGTCTGAGCTTCGGCAGGAGACTGAAGTAGACTGAAATGTTATTATTCGATTTCTGTGTTATTTTACCATGACAAAATGAGTTCAGCAGTAAACTATAGTTTCTGACATACATGATCCTGGTGGAACACTGTTTATTCGCTAAGTTCAGGGCTTTTTTCGGGCTTTATTAGTTTGCTGATACACGCCTAGCCACCCAGATAGCAAAACACAGTTCCGGCTAGATTCTCGCCTGCCGGAGACTTATCTCTTAGAGCTCAGACTGACTAACGTTACCTCTGCTGGACCTACTCCGGATGCCTGGACTCACTGCCCGATTCCAGTCCGAGTCAATCGAGCCAGATGCGGCGGCCGAGCGAGCAGGCGCTGCCGCATGCGAGCCGGAATCAGCCCGCGACGCCGCGAGTAAGTTATGCGCTGCGGCCTGGAGCTGGCGCGATTGAATATATAAAACCCTCATATTTGTTAACGTTATTACATCCATTTGTGTTGATATGACAGCAAACGCATGCTGAGAAGTTCGGGGGGCGTAGTTGATTTTACATAAAGCGTTTGATTGGAAGCTCGACTCTGCTCATTTTCGCGGCTCCTCCTCTGGCTCCATCAGACAATCCTTCTGCGCATGTCTAGCTCCAATTTCAGCAGTCTTTTGCGACAGTTTGTGCCCGTCAAGCAGGCGTTTTGCCCTCAAGGCGTTCAATGGGGAAAAGGGCTGTCGCGTCGTCCATATTTTTTACAGTCATTGATCTAAACAGTCTCTGGGTCAATGCCTGTAAAGATTTTGGACATCTTCTTGGACACTTTCAAATCTTTCAAATAGTTTGCTGCAATTATAAAGCACACATGTCTTGAGGTAGTTCATTATAATGCGCTTTATCTTCTACAGTTGAAGTCAGAATTATTAGCTCCCTTTAGATTTTTCTTTTCTTTTTTAAATATTCCCCAAATTATTTTTAACAAAGCAAGGAAATTTTTACAGTATGTCTGATAATATTTTGTTCTTCTGGAGAAAGTCTTATTTGTTTCATTTCAGCTAGAAAAAAAGCAGTTTTTAATTTTTTAAAAAACATTTTTGGGACAAATATATTAGCCCTTTAAGCTATATTTTTTCCCCAATAATCTACAGAAAAAAGCCATCAATATACAACAACTTGCCTAATTTCCCTAACCTGCCTAGTTAATCTAATTAACATAGTTAAGCCTTTAAATGTCACTTTAAGCTGTATAGAAGTGTCTTGAAAAATATCAAGTAAAATAATATTTACTGTCATCATGGCAAAGAGAAAATAAATCCGTTTTTAGAAATAAGTTTTTAAAGCTATTATTCTTAGAAATAATGAAACTGAAACAATAATGTAACTGAAACAATCTTCCCTCTATTAAACAGAAATTGGGAAAAAAAAATAAACAGGGGCGCTAGTAATTCAGGGGGGCTAATAATTCTGACTTCAACTGTATGTGTGATTTGATTGGACAGGAATCACAAGACTGATTTTTCTAATCTCCTTAGACAGGAAGCAATCAAGTAGTGACTTCAGGTTGAAGCAAAGTAGTGGAGTAAAAGTACAGAAACTGCACTATAAATGTACTTAGGGGAAAGTAAAAGTACACATTTTTTAAAACCACTTAACAAAATACAATTTCTGAGAAAAACTACTCAATTACAGTAGTTTGAGTATTTGTAATTAAGTACTTTACACTACTGATTAACAGTAAGAGAAAAAAATAAAATAAAAGAGTGGACATATTTCGGATATGCAGACATCACAAGCAGTGTTGGGGAAAGTTACCTTTGAAAGTAATGCATTACAACATTAAGTTACTTCCCAAAAAAGTTACATAGTTACTTTTTATGGAAAGAAATGCGTTACTTTTAAGTTACTTTTTCATACCGAACTGAGGCTTGATGTATCTTTATTTTTTTTTTTTAATAGAGGAGCTCTGCATTTAATCACACACTATAACCTTCATTTACTTAAAAAAATAAACGTAAAATAGTACAACAATGTTACCTTTTAAGAACTTCCTGATGTTATACATGCTGTAAATATACAGTATATGTATACAACATTTCCGTTGCATTGTACATGTAGGCAATAAGACATGACAATAAGGTTTAATACAGATTAATGATATTTCAAAATCAATGTGTTTGCTACTTTTGTATTTTTGTCTTATTAGTTTAAAAACAATGTTTATTGAGACTATAATCCCCATACATGTGTTCAAAATATGTAGAGTACTTCCATTACATAAATGTAAGGCTCTGTTATCTTGGTTTCTGTCTGTTCCCGCAGGGAGCTCATTCTCTCATTAAGTGTGGGATTCGATGTGATTACACTCATTTTAATTCAGCAAATATATATATATATATATATATATATATATATATATATATATATATATATATATATATATATATATATTTGTATTAAAGTAAAGTAATAAGAAAAGTAATATTATTAACTAGCTTTACTTGTAGAGCTTTACCCCCAACACTAATCACAACAATTGTGAGAACATTACGAATGTTAACCAAAACTATAAAACTGTTATCATAAAATACAACTTAAAATGGTCTGATAACTGTGGTGATTTCAAAGTCTTTGAACATATTCTTAAATGACTTTTAAAGACATGCGTCAGATCATGCTTACAATAGATGGTTATGACTTATGGAAATTTACCAAGACAAAGCATCTTGTTATTAAAGTAAAAATAGTAATAGTTGTACAAGGAGAACAGGAGAAATAACACACAGAGACCAAAAAAGCTTTAAAAATGGGCAATGATAAAACCGATGTAGATTTATTTTTATTTAATTACAAAATAAAAATGGAAAAATTCTCTGTGAATTTACTCAAAGTAGGTTGCAATGTTATAGTCTATAATGATTTTCTTTTATTTTACACAGGATTAAGTGTTTAAAAGAGAAAAGTCCACCAGTTATTCGGTTTAATTCATTACACTTGACATGAGCAAAAGTGCATTAAATGATATACACACACACTAAGTTTTCTTGTTTACAACTAATTTTGTAAAACATAACACCAAAACAACATGAAGCATGATAAAGTACTGAAGACTAGGTTAATGATACAAAAAAAAATCAGCTTTGCATCACATGAATAAATGACAAATTGATATTTTTATTATAATTCAAAGTAGGAAGAAAGAATCCAGCAACTGCCCAATTATTAAACAATCCTCCAACACATAATTCTTTTGTGCTTTTTCTTATTTAAATACACAGGTTGACATGCAGTTCCTCATCATGACCTTCCTGTCTCCGCAAGACCTCTGCAGACTGGGAGGCACCAGCACATACTGGCGGTCAATGGTTCGAGACCCTGTCCTGTGGAAGTACTTCCTGCTGCGTGATCTGCCACTCTGGCAGTCAGTTGACCATTTATCATTGCCTCGGGTCAAGCTCAATAGCTCAGCTGTGCTAGAGGACTCTGAGATGCACTTTGATTATATGGCAGAGTAAGTGCTTAAAACTGAGACATAGGACACTTTGATAACAAAACAAAAAAAATCAGCCCTGGATGCACTCTTTCTCTCTGTATTAACTGCATTTATTATAAATAACTATAATTATATCATCATAATATATTTGTAAGTATTGCATTAGTCCCGGGGTGTCAAGGGTGTTTCTGGATGGCCGCAGCCCAGAAGAGTTTAATTCCAGCCCTGCTGCAACACACCTATGTGTAGTAGAGATGCATGATATATCGGCCCCCATATCGTTATCGGCCCAAAAATGCTACTTTTAATGTTATCATTATCGATCCGTTTTTAAAATTAAGCCAATAGATTACATAATTTCACTCATACGGAGCTTTCTTAACATTGTTTATTCCTTTAAAGTCCATCCTTGCTTTGTGTGGTATTGCTGTGCATTAATAACTCCAGGAGTAACCATATTCCTTATCACTGTAGATATGTTCGATAGAGTGGCATTGTGTATTTTGGTTAAAATCACACATGCCTGTAGTTAAAAGCTTCAAATTCACAAAAACTTCAAACCTTTCTTCGACCATTTTTCCCGCAATTGACTGCAAGAACGAACATAGAAGCGGTGCCTGATTGACAAGCAGCATCTGCATGTGTTCAAAAGAATCTAAAGCGACAAATGGGATGATTTACGCTGCATTTTCTAAAGTAAATCTGTCTTTATTTAGCTTTTCGTTTGTAGGGCGGTCTGAACTGTCAAAATACCTCTCAAATTGCTTTTTCGGACATCATATTTGTACATATGTATATTATTGTAACACATTTTAGTTTAGCTGGTTTTACAGTTAGGCAAACAGTTGTTTACTGTATAAAAATGTAACATTTTGAAATATTCATATTTGTCGGCTAACATATCAATTATTGGCCTCCAATTCTTAAGTTATCAGTTATCAATATTGGCCAAAAATCCATATCAGTGCATTCCTAATCTGTAGGTATCAAAAGCCTAAAGCTCTCTAGCAAATTAGTTTGACCAGCTGTGTTTAATTTGGGTTGAAACTAAACTGTGCAGAGCAAGAGTTTGACACCTGTGCATTAGTCGGCCAGTGGTATATGAGATCAATATAAAAAATTGTTCGGCATTTAATGTGAAATGTTCTTTTTATGTGACCCTACCATAAGTCTAAAGATTGTTAAATTGTATACCGAGGTCTGCATGGGACTTTTTAAACAGAAAATAGGCTATTTTTTTATTTTGCACCCAACTGCTCCTTCTATTCATTCACTCTATGTTCACCGGCTGTTCATTTGGAATGTTTTTCTACCTAATCCAACCACTCCCGCTGTATTAAAATCTTATTTCCACAATCTCATATTTACATATTTACCAGCGGCTATACTAAAAGTGAGAGGTAATTTTTTTAAATGCCATCAAGTTACTTTTAACATTTATCTGTCAGCACAATAAGAAAAAAATGTCACAGAAAATAAATAAATAAATATGACATTGAAAATTCCAAGTTGAAAGTCCTTCAAGGACAGCGCATAAGCATTGTTCTTTCATTATTCTGCTCTGTCACTTGTCGACAAACTGCCTTTCTGTCTAAGAAGCATTATGCACAAGCTGCATGCTAGGACCCGCGAGTTAAATGCATTAAGCAGAACACATTGCTCCTTATGTGCAGCATGTGTACACAGTCCTGATTTTTGATGTGATAAAAAGCCTCCACAGCTCAAGACTGAAGTTTAAATGCAGATATACTTTTCTAAAAGGATATCGGAAATGGCATAGTCTATTGTTTGACCACCCATTCCCTTTCAAATTACAAGTTCTGCCTGCTCCCGCATTCCATAAGGAAAATGCATCCACTGTTGCAAGAAACCTGGTCAGGTCCCACTGTTCTTGCTGGAGAGCCTTGAGAATGCAGACCTATACAGTGGAAAAGAAATAATCATAATTAGAGAAGTTTAGAACATTGGCTCATTAGGAATATTAAGGTTGAAGTAGGGGTAGATGTTAATAAAACACAATAGGTTGGACTCATGTACATGGCGTTATGTACATTAAAAAATAATAATTCAAAAGCTGCAGGATAATTGTACAGCCCACTGACCATAGTTTATAACTAACTCAGCTAATTATCAAAATTCTACACTTTATCCTGTCTTTGTCATTATCCTGTCATGCATTTGTCTTTTGCGGATGACTAGCATTTCTGGGGAGATACTTGTTTTATTGACACTTTAATAGTGCAACACTTTAGAAATTTCTTTTTTGGATGAACAAATTTTCCATTTCTGCCTTGCAGCTGTCCTTCAGATTTGATGTAACTCATAAAATATGCCACAAGATGTCTTTTAATCTGTTGAGATATCTTCAAATTGGATTAAACAGCCACCCTGAAGTGTAGAAAATTTTAGGCTGCTCTCTAATTGTGATATCCACTATATATCTCCATCATAGGTGTGCATTATTTTTGAATAATTCAATTGTCTGCTGTTAATTACTTTTTGCTTTCATAGTGCTTTATGTCTATTAAGGTTGCCGGTAATTCAACAACACCTATAACGTTTACTAATATTTTCATTTTGGCATGACATCCATAGGTATCTACGTGTCTGCCCAGCTTGTCGAAACCAATGGCGTCATCAGCCCAGGGCAGCGTTTGAGTCTGTGGCTTCCTTCTTCCAGTCTTTTGTTCCTGTTGCAGAGCCGCAGTTCGCCATTTTCGGCCCTGGGCTTGAGCAGTTAGAGGTTTCACTAATGAATGTGATGATGAATTCTCCTGAAATTCTGCCTATAGCAGGAATACCTCAACGACAGATTGATGGTTGAGTGGCATTACTTTTATTTTATTCAATAACTTATTTAACTGAATGAATAGCTGCATAGATTATTATTTTTCTTGACTCTGACTGGATTCTTTTTCAGGTATTGGATCTGGAATCAGTTTTAAGTACAAAGATCAGCACAGATTCAATATTGCAACATTATATTCAAATAACAGGTGATTATTATTTGCTATTAAAATACATATTTATAATTATGTGTTTTTTTATTTTTTACTGCATTTACATTGTTTTACTATATTGTGGAACTAAACACTTTAATTAAAAAAAAAATTATTACAGAACTTAAAACTTTAAAATATAATTTATTTCTGTGAATACAAAACTGAAATTTCAGCAGTTATTGCTCCCTTCTTTAAAATGGTAAATATGTTTTATTTATTATCAATTTGTAAAAAAAAAAAAAATTCTGTTATAATTCATATTTAATCATTTATTTTATGATAAATAGGAAGTAGAAAGCAAGAATTTTTTTAAATGTATATTTTGTAACAAACATCATTTAAACATCACTTAAATTAAAATTATTATAGTTTAATGTGTTTATATTCATACAAAAAAAATTTTGAATGCATGATTATCTGTTATTTAAAAAAAAAAAAAAAAGGGCCGCATGTCTATTTTGCTTAATATCTCATTTTATCTTAAGTGTCAAGTTTGTTCAGTTGAATTTGCCCCTTTTGGATAATGTTTTAATACATTTAAACATCAATGGCATTTTTGTAGCACTTGATGTGTAAATGTGTCACAAAATACATTTTGAATTTATGAATGGAAGTGTTTGTCTTTGATTTAGGATGGAGCGAGAGAGAGCTCGTCTAGAGCAACTCAGTCTGCGCAGTAAAATCTTCATCTATGAAGAGGACAGTGAGTCCAACATACCCGCAAGCCTCAACCCTATGTTTAATCAAGTGTGCCAAGCTGTGAATGGATTCATCTTTGTTGCCAATGCTGAGACAGAAAGAGGTTTGACTGTCTTGTTTTGAGCTTACGTCTTTTAGGCTTATGCTGGAAAATATGTATATAAGCTTGTGTATTGTGCTTGTTTATGAGTTTCTTTAAAAAAGAAAAAAAAACTTTTTTTTTTTCAATTAGGCTCATTTTAAAACACCCTAGAGTTAAACTAATAAGTTTTTCTATTTTTTTAATCCATTCGGATGAACTCTTTGTCTGACGGGAGCACTTTTGGCTTAGCTTAGAATAAATCATTGAATCTGATTAGACCACTAGCATTTCACTTAATGATTTCAAAAAAGTTAAAATAATTATCCTATTTAAAGCTTGACCCTTCTGTAGTTACACCATGAACTAAGAAAGAAAAGTTGCTTTTTTCTATGTAGATATGGCTAGGAACTATACAGTATTTTCAGCGTAATAATAAAGAAACTTTATTGCAGTACCATGGCTTAAACAGATACAATATTACTCTTTAATTATTTGTTGTACAATGCAATTTTTTTAATTATTTTACCTGACAATTCAGTAAACAAATCTTTCTTATCGCTAACACTGGGTTTTCAAATTCCCCTGCTTACTTACCTAGTTCCGCTACTTCTGTAGGTTTCCATAGTGTAGTGGTCATCATGTTCGCCTAACATGTGAAATGTGCTTTGTTCAAAACCAAGCAGAAACAGTGCTCTTCTTTTGACGAGAAAATAATAGCAGCAACTGCCACATAAGGAACGTTGTCTACCGGCACCCAATCAAAAAGGGTATGTTTGAGCGGTATTCAGCGATTCAACAAGACAAGGCAACGCATACAAGAAGAGTCGGAGTTTTGTTTTCTTTAAAGAGAGGGATATTCACCGGCGGTCAGGAGTACTCGGAAGAGATGGGTTTTAGCTATCTTTTAAAGGATACCAGTGCATCCGTAATCCGAGTGGGAATGAGAAGATGATTCCACCAGAGTGGAACATTGGATGAAAACATTGTGGGAAGTAGCCTACAGTCTCTCTGCGATGGCACCACAAGACTGTGCTCACACCCCAACCGGAGGCTCCTGTGGTTATCACGATGGCTTTACAAGCGGAAGGTCTCCTGTTAGAAAGTGGGGGGAAACATGCAGATTTGCTTTTATGCACATTCTCACTTGGCGTGTATGCTTAAACCTGCAGGAAGCTTGTCACGCTGAGTAGGCTTTGTCCGCTTGATTGACAAATGCGTACACCTTGTTCTATCCATGCAGGCCTTCCTTCCCAGCTGGAAGCACATGTGGGGTTTCTGTTGTGCAGTGGTTCTCAAAGTGGGGGTCGGGACCCCTTGAGGGGTCGCGGAACAATGAAGGGGGGTCGCCTGGTGATTTTCAAAAATCTACTTATTATTATTAGGCCATAAGACTTACCATATTTTATCCATAACCAACTGAAGAGAAAAAAACTTTCGTTTATAGTTACTATAGTAGCTTATTTACTAGTTCTATTGGATTGCAACCCCTGGGGTAATTACATTATATTAAAGACAATAGCGTCAGATGCAGCAGATTGATTTTATAACACCAGGTTAAATTTTCTAGCCCATTTACAGCACTCACATACAAAATAAAAAATTAAACGAAGAATAGACTCTGGTCTATTGGTGTGTGTGTGTGCCATTGCATGCAAGTTTTCTGTATTTAACCACCTCAGAGGATATTGGGGGTCGCGGGTCACTGGTATTGTTATTTTAGGGGTCGCGTGCTCAAAAGTTTGGGAAGCCCTGCTGTAGTGTAGTGGTCATCATGTTCGCCTAACACGCAAAAGGTCCTCGGCTCGAAACTGAGTAGAAACAGCGCTTTTCTTTTGGTGCGAAAACAATAGCAACAACTGCCGCCTTAGGAACGATTGTCAACCGGCACCCAATCAAAAAGGGTATCTGCTTCCTGCACTACTGTAGGTTTCCATAGTGTAGTGGTTATATTCACCGGCGTTCAGGAGTACTCGGAAGAGATGGGTTTTAGCTATCTTTTAAAGGATACCAGTGCATCCGTAATCCGAGTGGGAATGGGAAGATAATTCCACCAGAGTGGAACATTGGATGAAAACATTGTGGGAAGTAGCCTACAGTCTCTCTGCGATGGCAACACAAGACTGTGCTCACACCCAAACCGAAGGCTCCTGTGGTTATCACGATGGCTTTACAAGCGGAAGGTCTCCTGTTAGAAAGTGGGGGGAAACATGCAGATTTGCTTTTATGCACATTCTCACTTGGCGTGTATGCTTAAACCTGCGGGGAGCTTGTCACTCTGAGTAGGCTTTGTCCGCTTGATTGACAAGCGCGTACACCTTGTTCTATCCATGCAGGCCTTTCTTCCCAGCTGAAAGCGCATGTGGGGTTTCTGTAGTGTAGTGGTCATCACGTTCGCCTAACACGCGAAAGGTCCTCGGTTCGAAACCGAGCAGAAACAGCGCTCTTCTTTTGGTGCGAAAACAATAGCATCAACTGCCGCCTTAGGAACGATTGTCAACCGGCACCCAATCAAAAAGGGTATCTGCCTTTTGCACTACTGTAGGTTTCCGTAGTGTAGTGGTTATCACGTTCGCCTCACACGCGAAAGGTCCCCAGTTCGAAACTGGGCGGGAACAGCCTTGACTTTTATGAAAATTGTCAAACCAAGCTTCTGTTGAGCACTGCCATACACTGAAAACATTCTTTGTGCAAAGCGGTGTGAGGCTAGAAGTTTGAATTCAACTCAGTGTTTACCTGCCATTGTGGTGTCGCAAAATTGCGTAGAATCTGATTTTTTTTAGCTTTGTGTTTTGCATGGGCAGGTGGCCAGTGTGTTTGGTGGCCCTCCACAGTGCAGACCTTTCAAGACAGCTCTATAAAAAAGACTATAAAAACTTGAAACAATACAGTCGTGTTGGTTTCCGTAGTGTAGTGGTTATCACGTTTGCTTAACACGCAAAAGGTCCCCTGTTCGAAACTGGGTGGAAACATACATTAGGCAGACACTTTTGTCCAAAGGCGCTTACAATAGAGGAGGTATTCAGCGATTCAACAAGATGAGGCAACGCATACAAGAAGTGCTATTTATTCCAACTAACTTGTTTGTGCTCAGAGAATTTAGTGCAAGAGTCGGACTTTTGTTTTCTTTAGAGAGAGGGATATTCACCGGCGTTCAGGAGTACTCGGAAGAGATGGGTTTTAGCTATCTTTTAAAGGATACCAGTGCATCCGTAATCCGAGTGTTTTCTCAGTGTTTACCTGCCATTGTGGTGTCGCAAAATTGCGTAGAATCTGATTTCTTTTAGCTTTGTGTTTTGCATGAGCAGGTGGCCAGTGCGTTTGCTGGCCCTCCACAGTGCAGACCTTTCAAGACAGCTCTATAAAAAAGACTATAAAAACTTGAAACAGTACAGTCGTGTTGGTTTCCGTAGTGTAGTGGTTATCACGTTTGCTTTACACGCAAAAGGTCCCCTGTTCGAAACTGGGCGGAAACATACGTTAGGCAGACACTTTTGTCCAAAGGCGCTTACAATAGAGGAGGTATTCAGCGATTCAACAAGACGAGGCAACGCATACAAGAAGTGCTATTTATTCCAACTAACTTGTTTGTGCTCAGAGAATTTAGTGCAAGAGTCGGACTTTTGTTTTCTTTAGAGAGAGGGATATTCACCGGCGTTCAGGAGTACTCGGAAGAGATGGGTTTTAGCTATCTTTTAAAGGATACCAGTGCATCCGTAATCCGAGTGTTTTCTCAGTGTTTACCTGCCATTGTGGTGTCGCAAAATTGCGTAGAATCTGATTTCTTTTAGCTTTGTGTTTTGCATGAGCAGGTGGCCAGTGCGTTTGCTGGCCCTCCACAGTGCAAACCTTTCAAGACAGCTCTATAAAAAAGACTATAAAAACTTGAAACAGTACAGTCGTGTTGGTTTCCGTAGTGTAGTGGTTATCACGTTTGCTTTACATGCAAAAGGTCCCCTGTTCGAAACTGGGCGGAAACATACGTTAGGCAGACACTTTTGTCCAAAGGCGCTTACAATAGAGGAGGTATTCAGCGATTCAACAAGACGAGGCAACGCATACAAGAAGTGCTATTTATTCCAACTAACTTGTTTGTGCTCAGAGAATTTAGTGCAAGAGTCGGACTTTTGTTTTCTTTAGAGAGAGGGATATTCACCGGCGTTCAGGAGTACTCGGAAGAGATGGGTTTTAGCTATCTTTTAAAGGATACCAGTGCATCCGTAATCCGAGTGGGAATGGGAAGATAATTCCACCAGAGTGGAACATTGGATGAAAACATTGTGGGAAGTAGCCTACAGTCTCTCTGCGATGGCAACACAAGACTGTGCTCACACCCAAACCGAAGGCTCCTGTGGTTATCACGATGGCTTTACAAGCGGAAGGTCTCCTGTTAGAAAGTGGGGGGAAACATGCAGATTTGCTTTTATGCACATTCTTACTTGGCGTGTATGCTTAAACCTGCGGGGAGCTTGTCACGCTGAGTAGGCTTTGTCCGCTTGATTGACAAGCGCGTACACCTTGTTCTATCCATGCAGGCCTTTCTTCCCAGCTGAAAGCGCATGTGGGGTTTCTGTAGTGTAGTGGTCATCACGTTCGCCTAACATGCGAAAGGTCCTCGGTTCGAAACTGAGCAGAAACAGCGCTCTTCTTTTGGTGCGAAAACAATAGCATCAACTGCGGCCTTAGGAACGATTGTCAACCGGCACCCAATCAAAAAGGGTATCTGCCTTTTGCACTACTGTAGGTTTCCGTAGTGTAGTGGTTATCACGTTCGCCTCACACGCGAAAGGTCCCCAGTTCGAAACTGGGCGGGAACAGTCTCGACTTTTATGAAAATTGTCAAACCAGGCTTCTGTTGAGCACTGCCATACACTGAAAACATTCCTTGTGCAAAGCGGTGTGAGGCTAGAAGTTTGAATTCAACTCAGTGTTTACCTGCCATTGTGGTGTCGCAAAATTGCGTAGAATCTGATTTCTTTTAGCTTTGTGTTTTGCATGAGCAGGTGGCTAGTGCGTTTGCTGGC